TTGTTTTACAGTACAGATGGTGTCTGACCAATGCAACAAATTCAACCTATCAAAACCTCTACAACATGAACAAAGTTCATATTCAAGTAAACCTTTTGTTTTTACAATGTCGATAAACTAACTTTGTGTTTCGTCGTCTTTTCCCGTTTGGAGCAGATGAAGTAGAGTTCATTTGTTTCAATGGCCTCGTCATACAGTGGACTAGAGTGGTAAGCACTATACCCAGGCGTTTTGCTTTCCCTAACGTGAGTTAGGTTCCCATCAGACTAATGGATGTTCTACTGATTTAACCGGGATTCGAACTCGAGAATTTCGGGTTAGCAGTCTAGCTCTCTATCGCTATGTAATGCCGTAGCTTTGTGTACAAAGAGGTGACACAAAGGCAAAAAATAGCAAATTGTACATAACAAAAATGCTTTTTTACCAGTTCCATTAATAACTAATTAAAGTTAAATAGTATTTTAAGTACACTTCGACATTTATTACAAGGGAGTGGGTGTGACACACATTGGTTTTTTTTTTGGGGGGGGGGGGGAGGGGGGTGACACTACGAAGTGCCGCACCGAGTGACACCCAAACTAGCGACGCCACTGACTTAATACTCTCTGCTCCTTGTGGAACATATGGCTTCAACCGTAACTTTCCATTATGTCCGGTCCCCGGCTGTTGAATGTATACAAATATTCCAACACTACTTCCAACAACCCTACGTTTGTATTAGTCACGCATGACTGATCAGGTAAATGTGTTCCATTAATAACTAATTAAAGTTAAATAGTATTTTAAGTACACTTCGACATTTATTACAAGGGAGTGGGTGTGACACACATTGGTTTTTTTTTTTGGGGGGGGGGGGGGGGGGAGGGGGGTGTCACTACGAAGTGCCGCACCGAGTGACACCCAAACTAGCGACGCCACTGACTTAATACTCTCTGCTCCTTGTGGAACATATGGCTTCAACCGTAACTTTCCATTATGTCCGGTCCCCGGCTGTTGAATGTATACAAATATTCCAACACTACTTCAACAACCCTACGTTTATATTAGTCACACATGACTGATCAGGTAAATGTGGTTTTTTATTACGTAACAGGACAACGGCCTCAACAGCACTTTGATGACGTACACTAATGAATCGGTCTACGGCAACTTCAGCTGCCACTTCAACTTTACCAGCAACGACATCATCCTCTGTAACAACAGCTGCTATTCATTGTATAACGAGACTATGAAATATAAATGTAATTTCTGAATTTCTCTATAACCAAGAGTGTCCGTATCTAATTCATGTGATAAATGTGCATATTACTCTAGATAAATCAGCAGTCTGTGTATCTATTTTGTCTTAGATTCATGTAAGTTGTTGTCTGTCTGTTCATTCAGGCTGTATAACAAGTATGTGTTTTATCAGTTACTGAGACAAATGACATCATTTGTCCCGATATTTTTTGTGCTAGTATCTTTGGTCCGTGAGATCATTTGTGCTGAGATCATTTGTCATGATATCATTAGTCCTGAGATCATTTGTACTAAGATAATTTATACTTGATAATTTGTCCTGAGATCATTTGTCCTGAGATCATTTGTCCTGAGATCATTTGTCCTGAGATCATTTGTCCTGAGATCATTTGTCCTGAGATCATTTGTCCTGAGATCATTTGTCCTGAGATCATTTGTCCTGAGATCATTTGTCCTGAGATTATTTGTAATGGGATCATATTTACATGCATAAGCATAAAGAATCATTATGATTGCGACTTTTTGTCAAACGCTTTGTAAGTTGTATATAATCACAACAAAGACGCGAATTAGTATAACTTGATTCAAACTAAGTTTTATTAAAAGCAATTACCCGATTTCCACAATTTCTACAAGCTACATACTTCAAGATTTATGATACTAAATTAAAAATGTATATAATATATTGTCTTTCAATTATAAACATAAAACAACCTAGTTATCACAAGTTTTCTGTATCTAAAGTTGTATTTAAACAGTGTTCTGTAAATATACCAACAGATTTAAATGACACATCATCTGCCAGCAGTAGCCCATCAATGCTTACAACAACAGCAGCAGTGTACCAAACCTACGAGTATTCAACCACCACAACAACTATCCCGAAGCCTAGCATAAACAGCTGGCCAGGACAACCCATCTTCTGGAGCTCAGGTCCGACATTCCGAGCACCCAGCAGCACACCAGACGAGCCCTACCCCACTCACCCGCAGCACGAGAGCACGGAGGAAGGCGGGAATCACGTGGGGAAGATTGTTGGAATCGTCTTTGGGGTCGTCCTACCCATTGGGATCATAGGGGTCGTTGTGTTTATTTGTTATCGTAGGATACAGGTAGGTTAGTCGCTGTCTTTATGTTTGTTGTCCTGAGATTTACACAAGATCATAGACATCATTTGAACTATCCCATGATAACTAGCCAAATGTTGGTACGTGTCGGTGTGGTCAGGTCGGTAGAACTAAACCAAACGCTCCCGAGGCCAAACCCCAGGCAGATAAGGTTCGATAACAGGGTACAAAAATACATCTGGGAGAGTAAACTCCTAAATCAAAGACCTACTTCCTTGTAGTTCGTTCTTGGATACACAAAGGCTAAGGCGTAAAATCCAAAACGAAAAGCAGGCTAGATCGGACTTAACGGCCTGTATGTCGCATAACAAATCGAGACGTAATATTTATTTGTGTAGGAACAAATCCCTTTTAAAATTACAATTAAAAAAATTCATAAAAAACGTTTTAATAACAAGCTTTTATGTAATGATGCACTAAAAAGTAGAAAATAAATTATAGACTACTATTTAAATAACTATAAAGAAAAGCGTGGGTCACTTTAGTATTTATTGGATACCTTTACTAATGTTAAGGAAGACACCCACGCTTTTCTTTATAGTTATTTAAATAGTAGTCTATAATTTATTTTCTACTTTTTAGTGCATCATTACATAAAAGCTTGTTATTAAAACGTTTTTTATGAATTTTTTTTCAGTACTTTACATGTTTTATTTACAATAGAGTTACATGACTAAAAACCATTGCGCGCCTACTGAACATCACGTTCAGTAGGCGCGCAATGGTTTTTGAACGCAGCCATTACGTGATGGCGCAGCTATTGAAGGTGATGACGCGTGTGGTGTGGTTGGCTAGACATGCCTACTAATTCGGTCCAAATTTTTATTAATTCATAAAAAATTAATTAGGCATCCAATCAAGTCAAATTTAGTTTCCGATTGCATTGTCTTCATGTCTTGACCCACGTGTCAAATGTGAATCGTATCGGTCAAGTAGAAGTTTCCGAATTTTCACTCCTGCGCTTCGATCTAGACTGACGACAGACAGACTGGCGACGACAGAGGAAGTGAGTTAAATAAAAGCTTGTAAAAAGGAAGAAGAAGATGATGAAAAACTTTGGTTTGAACGACTTTCTATAGTTATACAACAAATGGGACGGTTTTGTTTCCAATGAAACAGAATTATTACAAATCTTAACATTATCTTACTCCAAATGTTGGATAAATAACTTTCATTTTCCTTTGATGTTTATTGTATTGCAGAAGAAAAAGAACCTTAAACATCGAGACAAGACGCACGATTTATATTTTCGAGCTAAGGTGCCGGCAATTTCCGGTTCGACGGTCACTATCTTCACAAACTGGAAAAGTGAGGTGAGAATTGATGTCGTTTATTCGTTTCAAGTGTTATAAGCCTTCATGTAATTGAGGTTTATATACAGACGATAATGTCACAAAAGTTACTTTAGAAAGATTTTAATGTCAGAAGTTTACATGGACGTCTGTAATGCCTGGACCTCTACTCTGACTGGGCTTCCATATAATATGGACGTCTCTATGAGACCTAAGCTTTACCTGAACCTATCAATTACCTGGACATATCTATTACCTGGACCTATTTAATACATACACCTGTTACCTGGAACTTTTTAAACCTGGATTTCTCTATTACCTGGACCAATTATATTACTTAGACATATTTATTACCTGGACCTATTACCTGGATCTATATATTACTCAGATCTATATATTACCTGGACTTATCTATTACCTAGACTTCTCTTTTACTTAAATATTACCCAAACCTATTTATTACCTGGAACCATCTGTTACCTGGGCCTGTCTAGTACATGGATCTATTTATTACATGGACCTATTTATTACCTGGAACTATATTTTTTACTTAAAAGTTATCTAGTACCTGACCTATTACCTGGACCTATCTTTTACCTAGACCTAAAATTGGGGGTCTATCTTTTACATTACCATCTAAACCATTCTGCAGAAACCCAACCCTCTGGAAGAGATACCAAGAAAGAACATCCGGTTCCTACACACTATCGGCAAGGGCATGTTTGGCACTGTTGTCAAGGCCGAGGTTCTAAACCTCAAGAGGGTTAAAGGCTGCGGAGCTAAGCGGTGGACACCAGTGGCGGTCAAGATGACCTTATGTAAGAGCTTCATTATGAAAAAGCTAATAATCAGCTGAAATAAGAAAATGATGAAAAATTAATTTACACTTACAGTTTAATATATTGCAAAACATGTTGCATATTTTAGAATTTGATAATTAGTATCAGGAATTTAAAGAAATGTTAAAGTACCTTTAGGTCTATTTTAGTAAAACAAATAGACTTATTAACTTATTTTAAAATTAAAGTAATACTGTAAAAAAAGTATAAATATTAATTTTATTTAAAATTGTTTGTGTATGGGGGTCTTGAATCTTAGTTGATTGGTGTCAGCGCAGTTTTTCTTCCATACTTTATTTCTTTGGTGTGTTGAAGAATACTTAAAAATTTTGAGGGTGGGCGGAATAAATTTTACTGGGGAGGGGGGCATTTGTAAAAGTATGTAATTTCTATTTATATTGTATTTTATTTGGGGAGGGGGTTGTGGCGGTATTCGTGATCTGGGGGATCCCCGAAAGAAACACTGGTTAAGTAGTTAGTGTTGTGTGTGTACTCAGTAACAGACCGAATGAACGAAGAAGCCAAGACAGATTTTTTGGCCGAGCTAGCGCTGATGAAATCCATCCCGCCCCATGTCAACATCATAACTCTACATGGAAGCTGTACTGCTCACGGTAATACATTGGACAAATCATTTCGTGTACTGGTAACTGTAATACATTGGACAATTATTTATTACGAGCCGCCCGCTACGTATCATACGCCGCTATTTAGTTGTTTTTTTTCTACTTTTCAGTAATTTATAATTTGTGAATTCGACAGTACCAATGCTGCCATTGAAAATATTTGCTTAAAAACACTAACCCCCCCCCCCCCCCACGTGAAAGCAGCCTCCTCTTAGTTACCTCCTCTAAGTTTAAAATAATTTCAAACTAAATTATCTGCCCCTAATAGCCGTCACCAAACCCGTCTCTATGATTGTAAAATGTAAACAGAGTGAACACCGCTCACCAGATCATGTGGGGGTGGGGTGGGGGTGGTAGTGATAGTGATAGAGAGGAAGAGAGGGGACTGCAAAGGCGCGCTTGCAGCTTGTTTTCTAACTGATCCCAGAAGAGAATTATATATATAGATTGGTACTGCTCATAGTAAAACATAATTTATTTTTGGCACTGCTCACGGTAATACATTGTACAAATCATTAGTTGCAATGCTCATTGTAATACATTGGACAATTCATTAGTCGTACTGCTCACGGAAATATATTGGATAATTTATTTCTTGTATTGCTCATGGTAATACACTGGACTATTTATTTCTTGTACTGCTCACAGTAAAACACTGGACAATTCATCTATTGTACTGCTCATAATAATACATTGGACACATTATTTATTGCACTGCTCACGGTAATACATTGGACAATTTCCTTTTTTTCTGCTCATGGTAATACACTGGATAATTCATTTTTTTGCATTGTTCAGGGTAATACACTAGAAAATTAATTTATTTGCTTGGTAACTAGTACACAATAACTAGCAACGGTGGCATCTCTATATGACGTATCTATACGTTAACAATGTGATGTCACCACATCCCCGATAGTGATTTTCATATATATAGATTTAATTTTATTAAGGGTTACAAAAATAGAAAAAGACATTTAAAAAATGTTTTCAATTTTTCTTTTTATAAACAAAACTTTGTTTTTTATACTATCCTGCAATGCGATTTTGAAATGTATTATCGTATTACCAATAATACAAGGTAATGACGTGACCTTATGAAGATTCAGTCATCAACAATGTATAATAAAAGCTTCTGTAACTCCCAAACAGATCCATACTTGATGGTGCTGGAGTTTGCCTCACACGGAGACCTGAAGAAGTTCCTACAAGACCAAAGAATGGAGCGCAACTACGCTAATGCGGCTTTCAGCTCGTATGGTGTTCGGCCGAAGGTTACCGAAGAGGGAGGCTACTGTGTACCCCAGTTGTTAGGGGTGGATAACCCCGCGTAAAAAGGCGTTGATTATTCTGTGTTTACTGCAACAATGTTGTTCTTCGCCTTTAACTTTTTTTAAAAAAATATAAAACCTCTAATTTTCTCAACCCTATCTCTAAATGTAAAAACATATCTAAACAATATTTTTAAAGAATTTGAATTTTTTAGACATACATTGTTTTAGTAGACTATTTTATATTGAAGTTGCTTGCTTAAATACATTATATTTATAGTAAACAGCGACGCTTTTATTTTTTAAGGTGCCAATAATTTTTTAACATGTTTAAGAATATCTGAACCGGAAAGATACGTTGCCATGGAGAAATCTGAGCTGCTGACGTCACGGACATTGCTGTCGTTTGCCCTTCAAATCTGCAGAGGACTGGAGCACCTGGCCAACAACAAGGTCACTACGTGCTAAACAAAAATGTGAATTGTGAAATAAGACAAAATGTGTGTGATTTCCACATGAAGTTGGGTGCTCCACAGACTAAAATTATTCAATTTAAAAATCTGGCCCCAGTCAAAATAGCGTTCTTTTTTCGAAGCGGTTAATAAGATATGAATGACCTCATCTTGAGAAAACAATCAACACATGATTCCTTCATAGCTTGTTAATTCACCATCTAAAATATTAACTCTGTTTTACCTAATTAGCTGACACACAAATCAAGGAATAATATTTTTTGTTTCCATCACAAAAATATCTAAATTTTAGTCAACCAGTTCTAACCAATTTTTTAGAATAACCTGTTGCAAGACAAATATTATTTTCACTGGAAAGACTGATAAATTCTGGATAATCCATAGTGATGTACATGAAATTTGTTTTTCTAACAAAGCTGCCATATTAAGATTGTCAAGAAATGTTGACAAATAGTTATATCTGGCAATGGCATTTTATTCAAATAGTCTATATAGACTATTATAGATGTTGAGACATTTTATTTGGCTGGTAATTCTTTTAAATTAATTTAGATAGCCCATGAAGAGTTTGAGTGAAATATAATTGTATCTGTCAATGCTGTTTTATCTAGATAGTCCCAGGAGTTGTTGGTTGAGAGAGACATAATTTTATCTGGCAATGCTGTCTTATTTAGATAGACTATAGTGTTGTTGAGAGAAAAATAACTGTATATGTCATGACTGTTTTCTTCAGATAGTTCATCGAGATGTAGCAGCGAGGAACATCCTTCTGTACGACCGAAATGTCGTGAAAATCTCGGACTTCGGTCTCGCCAGACGCGTTGGTCAAGCGGACGTCTACGAGAGGACAAGAAAGGTAAGCTTTTGTCTAAGGGCGGGGTTGGATGTTCAGTGTGCGTCTTTAGCTTAATTTACAGGCAATTGTACACTGGTTTAAAGTGCTCTATTGCTAACCCGAAGGTCACGAGTTCGGATCTCGGTCTCGACGCGAGATTGTGGGACGTCCGTGAGTCCCACCAGCTCAAGATTAGAGGAAGTAAAGTCGGTTGGACACTGTGCTGACCAATCCGTACCTCGTGTGCCACACGGATCGTTAGGTCGGAGATGGTAGATTTATTTTACTTTACTTGTCCACAGGGCCTTCTCCCAGTCCGCTGGATGTCCCCTGAATCTCTCTTCTACAACCAGTACAGTCAGATGTCAGATGTCTGGTCTTTTGGTGTCTTCATGTGGGAGTTGGTCACGTTAGGTAAAGTATTTTAGTGTCTTCATGTGTCAACTTGTCACGTTAGGTAAAGTATTTTAGTGTCTTCATGTGGTCACGTTAGGTAAAGTATTTTAGTGTCTTCATGTGGGAGTTGGTCACGTTAGGTAAAGTATTTTAGTGTCTTCATGTGGGAGTTGGTCACGTTAGGTAAAGCATTTTAGTGTCTTCATGTGGGAGTTGGTCACGTTAGGTAAAGTATTTTAGTGTCTTCATGTGGGAGTTGGTCACGTTAGGTAAAGCATTTTAGTGTCTTCATGTGGGAGTTGGTCACGTTAGGTAAAGTATTTTAGTGTCTTCATGTGGGAGTTAATCACTCTGGGTAAAGTATTATAATGACTTCATGTATCATCATGTCACATAAGGAAAACACACTGCTGACCCACAATTTAAGAACTCCCCTTGTGTATCTTTCTAAGGGTCGACTCCGTATCCAGGTCTACACACAGACAAAGTCCTGGACAAGATCAAAGACGGCGAGCTACTTACCTGCCCACCTCACACCTCTGACGTTATGTAATTATATATATATTTTTTTTAAATTTTATAAATTTGTTGCACAATTTCTACACCTTATCATAATATCGGTATTGCTAGAATAACAGTAAAACAGAAAAGTAAATATTGATGTTTTTCAAGTAAATACGAGCATTTTTTTTCTACGAAATGATAATAAATTCCGATTTGTGAATATTTTATTACAATTTAGATAACATATTAATCTATTTTTTACACAAACACTCTGAATAGTTATAAAATCATCGTGCATTAACAATATACCTTGTCATCGTGTGAACTGTAACAAACAAAGCAAATCCCTTAACGCAGGATATCTAAGGCACCTGTTCCGTTTTGTTTTCACGATTTGACAAGATATACTCAACAATATGTATATTTTGTTCGTGACGCTTAGATCAATAGCAGGAAAATGTGTATTGTATCTGCCAGTATCTTATTCATAAATAAAGGATCAAAGAAATTGTTTGAGTAAAGATTGAGTCGGGTATATTGTTAGGGTAGCCATATCAGCAAACAGTTAAGTAAATAAAAGTAAACGTTCTCTATTCGAACCTGGCAGTCCCTGGGGCAAGTGAAGTAGAGTTCACCTGTTTCTCTGACCTTGACCTATGAATGAATCGACTGGTCAGCACTGTGCCCAATCGACTTTACTTTCCCTAACCTAAGTTGGGGGCCTATCAGAGCTGGGTGGACTTAGTGACGTTCTAATAACTTAAACACGGATTTCAATGTTAGACTTTGGGTTTAGAAGTCAAGCGCTTTACTGCTAGACCAAGCCGTCCCTTTTCCGCAAACAAAAGCCTTGATATAACCTACCCGGAGACTGTGAGTACTCTAAACGGTCATGTACTGACACCTCTCACTTCTATTGCAGCAATGACATCATGACCAGCTGCTGGAAGAACTTCCCCAACGAGCGCCCCACATTCGCGCAGCTGTGCGCCAGGTTTGAGAAACTTCTAGAAGCGCAGGTGGAGTATGTCGACCTGGATCAGATGGAGGATCACGAGTACAGCGTCCTTGACGACTAGACCCGGCTGGTTGAAAGGTCACGAGTACAGCGTCCTTGACGACTAGACCCGACCTTGACTAGTTGAAGGTCACGAGTACAGCGTCCTTGACGACTAGACCCGACCTTGACTAGTTGAAGGTCACGAGTACAGCGTCCTTGACGACTAGACCCGACCTTGACTAGTTGAGGTCACGAGTACAGCGTCCTTGACGACTAGACCCGACCTTGACTAGTTGAAGGTCACGAGTACAACGACCTTGACGACTAAACCCGGTCTGAGCTAGTTGGAAGGTCACAAGTACAACGACCTTTACGACTAATGCCAACCTTCACATATTGACACAGTGGGCTATACCGCTAAGTTTACTTGTCTGAATTCTAAATCTTTAGTTGTAGACATAACAAAGTAATCATATTACATTAGTCTTTCCGCGTCTTTTTGCTAGTTTCCTAGGTATCAGATAAACAGTTCTACAGCTCTCAAAAACATTTGGTTCTAGAGAGCGATGCCAAAAACATTTTTATTTAATATGAACATTATTTTTTTTATTATTATTATACCTCTACAAGTTATAGCATCTGACAACTCTCTAAGTGTCAACCAAATGTTAAACAACATCACTAAAAGTCGTATTTTTTTAATGTGGCACAGGTAATGTTTGTTACATTTATTTTTTGGTAAGTTTTTGTACTGGCTTACTTAGATCCTTATATTGCTTCTATACACAACAGTGACATAATTTATTATTTTAAACTTTATTTCCATATTTAAAAATATGTTATAAACTATTTCTAAAGTAAGTGTTTAAAAAAAATACAAAATGTGTTTGTCAAATCTATTTAAAAATATTAAAATAAAACATGGAATTTCAAATTAGTCCTTTTTACAGTTCAAAATCTTACAAATTATTGGTGTTTACAGAGCAAATAATCCAATCGAAGAAGGACTATATCATTGACGTTTTTAAACGTTTCAGTTTAATTTTGCTTTGTTTCCAATTGTTTAATTGTATGCACCTCAATGCACCCTGTTTTGTTTTATTTACCTTAAATCTTGTTGCTCTACTTCAAAATTGTTAAGCAAAACAATCAATTAAAAATAATAATTTGTAATAAAATATGCATTCTGTTTAGTTAATCATAATTAATGAATTGTGTTTTTTTTTCTTAAAAATTTAAATATTTAAACAAACCAACTTTGCATGAAATGAAACATCCACATCAAATAACTTTTGTAAGCCTTTTTGAACAAACTGTAGCGCATATTCTTTTCGTTATTTGTTTGTATTCGGCTCAACGCTATCCAACTAAACACATCGTCTTTTCAACATCGCCATTACATATCAGAAACTTTTTAATGAAATGTACACATCAAAATATAAAATAACCATTATCTAATCACTTTTATCTCTTTAAACCTTTTCTTTTTTAGAACAAAATTTCGGCATTAAAATTCTTTGAAATGTGGTTCTGTATTTCAGACTCATCGTATAAAATATAAACATATGCACTGAAGAGTTCATATAATCTAAACATAACAAAACATACAAAGACAACCAGAAGATGTTGTTGTATGTCCTCATAAGAAAATACTCCGGCACCATCAACATAGCGATGTAGTGAGCGACCCGGGGTAGGAGGCTCAGGATGTACACCATTATGACGACAACCAGCATCTTGACCACTTGTTTTTCTTTTGTTGTCATTGGTAACGGTCCGGCGCCATTTTCCCCAGTGTTTATTTTAACGTTTTGTTTTCTAAACTGACTCGATCTACGAAGCTGGTGAGATATAATTAGTGAACTAATGATCATGATAATTAAACTGGACATGGGGTAAAATGCCCCAAGGTATTTGTTTACCAGCATGAACTTCTCGCCGTGAATTTTACTGAAGCTTGAATACTGGTACATTGCAATCTCGCACTTGTAAATTTCGCTGAATACCCATTTCGTTTCGAATAATAGAAAAACCGGGAAAAATGAACAGTACACGCTTAAACTTAAACAAACACATATCGATATTGTTAGTTTTGTCGTGATCAAAGTTTTTACTTTAAACGGGAAGCTTACACAAATACATCTTTCAACGGCAACGTAAGCTCCAATCACATATGATACATTTCCCGTGATGATGTTGATGTAGTATATGTTGGGTATGGTCATGTTCTGCCACGTTATACCTAGAGATGGTGAGATAAGTGAGACAGGCCCGTATAGGCGGTGCAACCCGCCTGTGACAACCCGGATTAAGTCTAGCACTGAGATGGTTGTCAGAGAGATGTTGACTGTCTCCGTGTACCCCTGGTTGGCGAAGATAGTGATGTTGATGATGTTGGTGATTATCCCGATTAGACTTAGGAACAGGTTAATCCACACGTCCATGGCTGTTGTGATAAGACTAAAAGCGAAATCGTCCAATAAAATATCGGGTCTCGGTACGATTGTTCGCTTCTCGTGAAATGTTAATGTTTCGTTGAAAATGTTTGTAAACGAAGTATTTAAGGGATAATATGTATTCATTGTTACCCTTTTTGTTTACAAATCACGACTGAAAACAGAACTAATTTATCCTCTGCTTTAGAGTGTAAATTGAATGAAGCTAGTGACTCACTCAAATTGTCGGTCAGATTTCATCTCTTTCTATTTTAATCGTTCACTAAAATGGTAGATCTTTTGCTGGTATATTTATGTGGTATGCTATCTACATACACTTTATTTTGAAACCATCATTTCAGTTTACGTAGATAGATAAATCGTGCTGTTTTAAACCTACCCATTTAAGTCACACTGTAACTACTAGAATTATATAATTAAACGTTTATCAATACTTCTTCAGCCAACATCATACTCTCAAGTCCTATTTTATAAACTACGAACTTTGAATACTATGATTTTACCGTTTAAACCTAGTCATTTTCTTACACAGCATATATTAATAAACACAAACCACCAATTCGGTTACATCGATGTAATGAGGAAAGTAAATAGATAGATTCAAGACAGAATTACTTAAATTAATGTAAATACCGGTTTCGTTTTGTTAATTAACCCTTGAAGTCTATAATTTAAAAAATCGAAAATATTTTTATTCATCATGGTTATAAAAGCAATAATTTATTATTATTATAGTTGAAAGATCGTTTATTAATTGATCGTAAGAAGTTAGGAATTGAATTGCTGCCCTAGATGTTTAATTAAATAATTATTCTAATTTGTAATTATGCTTTTTTTAACAATGTCAATTCTAATCTTTACAATCACGATGTCATAGAGATTCCCTTGCTCATTGTCACCAGCATTTGTTTTACAACCGTCTCGATATAACGCACATTTTCTTAAAGTTACACGTAAAGTTGTGATCTCTAAAGGTAACAGCTATTTGACATGACTAAACGTTGATTTTTTTTTTTTTGTAACAAAAATTTGAAATAAAATAGATATCTCTAAACTCTTAAAATGGTCCGTATCTAGCTATAATTAACTTGTTTTTAATTATTTTTTATTAAAAAAATACAAAGTATTTTTTGTTTAATGGTAGTTTTAAATAAATACAAAATACGTATATGTTAATTGTAATTTAAAAAAAAATAAAAAGTATGCATATAACGATTGTAGTTTTAAAAAAAAATACAAAGTATGCTTATGTTGACTGTAGTTATATGATAGTTGTCATACCGATATTTTAAACCCATTCCGCCTTTCATTCCCCCCCCCCCCCACTACCACCTTTAAACAATACTGCAGGGGCGTAGCGAGGGGGGGGCGGGGGGTGCGGACCGCACCGGGTGACACCATTTAGGGGGGTGACACCAAGGTAAAAAATAGCAAAATATATAGAGAAAAACTCGAGGGGGGGTGCAAATCGAAAGTTTGAGGGGGGGGGGGTGCAAATCGAAAGTTTGGGGGGAGGGGGTGCAAATCGAAAACTCGAGGGGGGGTGCAAATCGAAAATTTGAAAGTTTGTCCCTGGGAAGGGTCTCTATGCCTCTGGGGGGTGACACCATTAAGTGCCGCACCGGGTGACACCCGACCTCGCTACGCCACTGCAATACTGTAAAACCTTTTTTTGCATGTCAGTGTTAGTGTTAACAGAGGCAGTCCCACTGATGTAGACGTTCCCTCCCCTTTCCTTACAGTATTAAATAGAGAGACGGTATACGTTTAACCGGTTTCACCCCTTGACTATGATTCACGTTTGTTTAACTATGCTTGAGGGGCCTCAAATAATGCTAGTCATTCTAGCGTGAAATCTAGGACATACCGTCTGTGTGTAGCAGTCTGTGTATACTGTCCTTTTTACTTGTATCTACAGTTTCTTTTAAACGTGTGCGTTAAATTATGTTTTTTTCTTATCATCGAATGTTAACGCAATTGATTAAATATCTAGATTCTTGCGAATCTCAAAAAAAATTACATAAATTTGTTAAAAACTATAAGATTTGTCAGCACTAAAACCATAAATGTGAATATATATAAATAAGTTATTTAAAATATTATTATAGTTTACTTCTTAAACATATATAAAAATATTTATAATTTAAATAAAACAAAAATATGTTTATATCGTAAATTGAAAATGAAGTTTATATTTATATAATAAACTAAAACTTATTTTAGCTCTGTTGTAAGTCTAAAGGTAAAACTTGAAGTAGAATTTTAAAAATAATTAAAATTTATTTGTTTCCCTTGAACAATTTAAATTTTTAACTTGCCTCCCCTACAATGCTTCTCACGACAACATACATTTTATGCTGTTATTTTATCTTCTATACATCTAATATGTTTTGTTGATTGCAAGTGATACCAATCATGCTAACGATTAAGTTGTTTATTAGTTAGCCCTGAGAGATATCCTTCCTATTTATCCAGCAATAGTTGTATTGTTATATTGTTGTGATATAGGTATGTGAACTAGAAAACAAGGGTAGGGTTATTGTAATATTTTGGTTTAGAGGAGTTTATTTTGTGCAGCTTAAAGGGGACGATTTCAAACAATGATATGTAAAATATACCGTAT